GATAGCCTGTTAGTGACCACTGTGACTTTCATGTCATGCAATCATCGGGCAGATTGTCAAGGAATAGGGAGTCTGTGATAGACTAGATCTGCCTGGGATACTAGGGAAACACGGGCGGCGCAAAATCCAGCACTGTACACACACACATAGAGCCACACAAAAGGAAAGGCATAATGTTAACACCGTGTTTGAAGTGCGGATACAAACCCTCACCACATAATATATATCAAAAACAAATATTAGACTGAGAGATTAAAAGACAAGCCATTCTATTGACTTAAAATAACTCTTTAAAGGTTTAAAGAGATAGTACATGTATGAAATTTAAAGGGATAGTACATGTATGTATGAACATGTATGACTTTTCGTCATGTGAAACACAAATGGATAATTTTTGAAGAAAAACCTGATCACTATTTTAAATATAGTAAAAGTGAATGAGGACTTGTGGGTTGAATCTATAACATAACAATAAAAGCAGCACAGAAGTATAATATAAGTGGCTTAAAAGTCCTGTGTGTTCGATGTAAGGCCTTCTAAAATCATCCAATAACTTTGGAGAAATTTAAGTAATTATTCACTTATTATCTTCGTCTCATTGAGTTGAACTCGAAAACTAAATCATTTAGACTGGTTTTGTGAACTGGATCAAATAGTAGTCGAGACCAGCTCAAGACCATATTTTCATGGTCTCAACAACAACACTGATCAAGTGATTCACTGGAAAAAAATTATTCAAAATGTTTTTTTTTACCCTTTGTAATAACATACTAATCAATCTTGCACAATACTCCAGGTTGAAAACTACTGGTACCTCTGGTACTCTGGTACACAACTGGAATATTTGGTTGATTTATTTTGTAATAATGACTAACTGACTATATAAATATATATATATATATATATATATATATGAATACAGAATTGTCATTTATGGGTGAACTACCCTATAACAGTGCTTAAAAATAAGGCAACTATTCCCACCTGATTCAAGTGAACCAGTAAACAGAGAAAGATAATGCAGGAAGTGACCCCAAAGCAAACATTATTTTGGGCATTTGACATTATAAGCCTCTTCAATCCGTAGAACCAGAACTGAGCTAGCGTCCTCTGTAAGCAACAAATTGTACAATGAAATGTGGTACAACATGTACTGAACAGACATATACTGCACATAAATACATAAATAAATGAATATTTATAAATTGATATAAAAAAAAAAATATATATATATATATATGAATACAGAATTGTCATTTATGGGTGAACTACCCTATAACAGTGCTTAAAAATAAGGCAACTATTCCCACCTGATTCAAGTGAACCAGTAAACAGAGAAAGATAATGCAGGAAGTGACCCCAAAGCAAACATTATTTTGGGCATTTGACATTTATTGAAATAAGCCTCTGGTCTGCATCTGAAATGTCTACATCTCAATGCAAATAACAACTCTGAAATATGACACATAGCTGCAGTCACCGTAACCTTTTCAAAACCTCAGCAAACAATGATTAATAACTTATTACGAGTATGAAATCAAACCGTTATCGATCTTAAGTTACACTTGGATTTGCATATATACTCAGATTGATGTCTGAGCTGTGCCATTCTTATATGTTATTTGCACTTTGCTGTGGGGTTCACCAGTCTTGATATCCTCTCCTTTGCAAATGAAGCCACTTGCATTTCTCTGGCCTCACAATCTAGCCTTCCTCACGATCACAGAAAGCAATTTAGCCTAAAATCAACATCTCTCACACTCCCCAGAGTGACAGCGAGAGAGAGAGAGAAAGAGTGTAAATTGGGGAAGGTGGTGATGACACCAAGACCAGCTCAGAGTCAACAGTACTGGATATACATGTGCTGAAATGAGCACATCTCATCCAGACCTTGTTGACTAAATTATATGAGAAGAGAAAATAAGGAGGAAAGAGAGATTTATAAATAGAGCGAGGCTATGTTTGGAATAGAATACTATTATAATATATATAGTGTATACCGCCTATAATTCTTTAAGTATTTGAACAACTCTTTTTCAGAGATCCTCAGAAATCTCTTTTGTTCGTGCCATGATTCCCTTCCACAAACATGATCAAACTTTGATAGATCCATGTTCTCTAAATACAACAGGGCATGCATTTGCACCTGATAGTCATCCCACTGTTTGAAAACACCTCTGAACAGATGGACTCTAATTTCACCTTCAAATTAACTGCTAATCCTAGAGATTCACAAACTTTTGCCACTCACAGATATGTAATACTGATGATCTTTTGGGTCATATTTATGCAGAAATATAGAAAATTCTAAAGGGTTCACAAACTTTCAAGCTGCACTGTGTATGTATGTATGTGCACGCACACACACACAGACACACACAGACACACACACACACACACACAGACACACACACAGACACACACACACACGCACACACACACACGCACACGCACACAGACACACACACACACACACACACGCACACAGACACACACACACGCACGCACGCACACACAGACACACACACGCACACACACACACATACACACACACACACACACACACACACACAAACAAACACACACACTTTTCTTTTTTGGAAATAAATGAATACTTTTATTCAGCAAGAATGCATTAATTAATTAATTAATTAAGAAAACAACAACAACAACAACAGAAAGGACATTCAAATGTTAAAAAATGTTTAAAATAATTCTGTTTTTATTCATCAAAGAATCCTGAAAGTAAACAGCATTTATTTGAAATAGAAATATTTGGTCAAATATTAAACCTCAAAAAGACCTCAAACTTTTGAAAAATAATGTAAATGTAAAGATTATTATCATTATTATTATTATATCTTTTTTATTTTTGAAATTAAATTGTATAACTGACTCAGTATCTGACGGAAAACTCCATCTGATTTAGAATACCCACTTTTCCTGAACCATTAAATTCCCATAAAATCAATTGCCATCCTACTTTTATAGAAAGAAAGAAAGAAAGAAAGAAAGAAAGACAGAAAGAAAGAAAGAAAGAAAGAAAGAAAGAAAGAAAGAAAAAATGTTGTGGCAAATCATTCTCACTGAAAATGGTATAGATGCGGTATACAGTGCACTACAGTGCAGTGTGTGCTGTTTGTGTACTGCACAGTTTGTCAAATGTGGGTCTAAAAATAATAAGAGTAGCATGGTTGTACACTATTCCAAACACAGCTTGAGTGATGTAAAGAGAGGAGAAGTGCATTCAGCCCTTACTGATTCCCCTTTAAAAGCATGCATGAATATGAATTCGCACAGTATGAAATAACATATTGAAAAGCTGTAAATATGGGCACTTTTGAACTGTGTTTTGATTGGCTTGTTTCGTTTAATGGATCTGTCATCTCTCAAATGTCACAGCCAACCTCTTTCTACAGACAAACAAACAGACTGAGAGAGAAAAAGGGAAGAGATCAGGAACATAGGTATTTTGAAATACCTCTGAGTGTCCCTGTCAGATGATGTGACATTCAGAAGTGACTCATTCAGAGGTTAATTAAATGTTGTTTATGCCAAGTGAGAGAAATTACAATACTACCCAGAGAGCACTAATGCAACGACTGTGTTCTCTGACCTGCAGAAGCGTGTAATTTCCTGTGGCAAGAGAATAATCCGTGGGCCACGCCACCTCAGCCGTTTTAAGCACGGCTGATGACTTACAAAAAGAAAACGGGCTTACTGTGATATTGGTATAGTTTCGACGATATTGGTATAGGGTTTTGAGTGGGGTATGAGTGGTTATGAACGAATGAATGAAACACATTTGTCCGTGTTTCACTCCGTCTCGAAATCGCGCTTGCGGAAAGCGCTTGAGAAACAGTGTCTCTTCCGCGGCTCGGTACGCTTTCAACTCGTTTTTTTAGTCTCGAGCAAGACTGTACGTCATTCACGTTACATGATTTGACTGATTTTTACGTAGAAAGGGAGACAGTGCACCGCATTAAAAGAAATGATCATTCATGTTTTCATAACCGCTGGCCAAATTAAAAAACGAAACTAAAATTAAATAATTTTTTTGAGAGCAAGGGGGCCCCCTGTTTTTTCGGGCACCCTACGCAGCTTGTGTATTTTGCATATATGGAGGATCAGCTCTGTTTTAGACACATCATAACATTTTCCACAGTTAAACAAGTAACATAATGCCGCTTGATCTGACATCTTAGAAACATTTCAACATGCCGAGACCTTGATTTTGACAGTGCTATTTCATCGTACAAAGCCTCTTTGAAATGAAAATCTCACCAAGACATGTTCAGATTGTGTTTCTTCCCAAAAACAAAAGAAAAAAATAAGAAAGTTGATTTATTAAGTCTATTTTTGTCACATTTCCCCCAAAGAAAACCCAATTGTGTACTGCAATCTGTAATGTATCTGGATGTTTTAAATTTCAGTTTCTAATCTTTATTATTCTTTAAATGATTTTAGCAAATGGCTGCAATATAACAAAGAGTGAAAAATTTAAGGTGGTCTGAATACTTTCCGTACCCACTGTATATATATATATATATATATATAGTGTATAAACAATTTTCACTCTGAAATTCCTAGTAAATTTCACAAATAATTATTATTACAGTATTTTCTTATAGAACATGCTCTAAAATACACACACACACACACATACACACACACACATGTATGTACATATACCCTACTATTTAATTAATTAATTAATGTAATTTTTTTGCTTTATGGTACGAAAAAAATATTTTACCTTATACAAATTAGAATTCATTATTTTTTTCTTTAGATTTTAGGGTAGTATATGACCCAGCATGTTCTTGACAGGCTCTGTGACATTGATCCTCCACATTTTCCCACTAAATGTCAGAAAGAGTGATTTGTCACGCAGTAAACGTAGTGATGACTGACTAAATCACATCTCATTAGCTCACATCAGAATTTATTACATCACATTTGACCTCAGAGAATAACACCCCATGCAAAAAATGTCCTACCGTTATCTGTGGCCATGAAGAGAGCAGTGTACTGGTTGTTGTGAACGTGTGGAGACTCGCGGTCCAGTACGGCTCTGGTGGTGACGTTGCCTTTGAAGGGGTTCACGATCAGCCAGTCTGCTGGGTCTCTCAATACAGAGAACCTGAAGGGCACACATGACACACATGAAACTCTTAGAATGGGTCTAGCTTTTAAAGTTTACCAAAACGCAAGCATTTCAAAATTTCTTTCAGATTAATTGACCACTTTTTACAGGGACAATCCCCTTGGACTAACCAAGTGCCTTGCTTAAGAACACAATGCTGACAGGTCATGTACCCCTTGCGGCATTCGAACCTGCAACCTTTTGGTTCCCAGAGCAGATTTTTAACCATTAAGCAACATGACCTGAAACATTAGCACTACAGATCGGTGATGGGTTATCAGGAAAGTCAGCTGAAAGTGAAATAAGAAGAAATGGAGCAAGAAGAGCACTTGAACATGTAGGAGTGATAAATGACCTGCAGCGACACATCTAAGAATAATGAGCCGTTTTGTAATTGGGTAACCATGTGATGATATCTCGGGCGTGACCGCCAGATCACCTAAGCATGTGTGTATGCACGACTGGATAAAAGCAGTTGCAGTAGTGCTGAAATCTGGAACTGAGTCACTGATTTACAGGCTAAATAAAAGACAAACACACCAAATGAAATGCAAGTTCTCCGGCTCTGCTGCTTTAAGGAAACCCATAGAGACTCAAACTTTCAAAACAGAGGAGGGAGATTTTTTTTTCTGAAAAAACTTGCTAACTGAGATACCTTTCTGAAAAGAACACAAAATTTCAACACAAAAAATCACAAAAAAAAATAA